GTGTGTGTCTCTCTCTCTATATATATCACACACACACACACACACATTTGTACATAGTTATATACAGAGACTTCACATAAGTAAATAGACACCCAAGTTTGAAAGATAAAAATATAGTTTATTCTGGAACCATACCATAAGGAGGGGTAATAGTTTGTGATGCAGTCCTTTTCTTTATGCATGATTACAGTCCATTCCTTGTACATACTCTGTACAGGGAGTCCTGGGGGGTGTGGTAACTGGGTTCAGAGTTTAACCAAAGTAAGGAATTTTGTACCACCAGTCAGAGGAATTTCCATATAGAAGAGTGAATGTGTAACTGAATAATGTACATGACCGAAGCAATTTTCTTATTATTCCAAGTCACATGTACTGAAACATTTTTTAATTCATTATCACACTGAAAGATACTAATACTGTTTTGCAATGTATTTAATGGTCCCTCCAACATATTTGAGTACGTACACATAGACAAATAAGAAAACTGAAAGGGCATAGTGTTCCTTATCTCATTACTAACTGATATTTATTTTTGATTATTTAACGGTTGATGGTGTTGGGGTAGATAAAGCTAGAGCATGCTAAATAATATAATTCTTAAAATAAATAAATAAAATTATTATAAATTTAAAAGAAGAAGAGTTTTCATAACACAAACTGATAATCAAATTATATTTCAACAGCTATAGATATTTTAGTAAATATGCTTGGGCTGTTCCAATCAAAGTTAAAATGGGAAAATAAAAGTTATTTTTTATATAAGGGTAAAATTAAAACTGATAAAAGAACAGAATTCATTAATAATCAAACTCAAAAATAATTTAAGGAACTAAATATTCACTGATTTACACCTGAAAGCAAAGTTAAAGCTCAGATTGTTGAGATATTTTACTGCTCATAATACAAGGAAATGGATTGATGTTTTGGATAAGTTAATAAAGAATTAATAATTCATATTGTAGATCAATTAAGATGATTCCAGTTGAATCAAGTAAAAATGAAAGTAAATTACCGTATTTGCCCGAATACAATGCACATTTTTTATCCTCCAAATACATTCAGTTTAGTTAGGTATTGTACTGGAAGCTTTCACTGAAAATTACTAAAGCATCATTAAAGGTTTCAAAATGTCTCAATGTAAAAAATGTGTTAGTGATCATTATCATGCACTAAAAATGAAAAAGTAGAATGTGAAAGTGAATCGAAAGTCATTAAAACACATTTGGAAAAACATAAGGAAAGCTCCCTCCATAAAAAGAGATTAAGTAAAATAAAAAATGTAATACGTGTAAGGAAGAGAAATCACTTGATGATTTCCATAAAAACAAATATAAAAGAGATGGTTATAATTGTTAATGGAAAAGTAGAATGTGATTAAAAATTGTCAAATCATATCTAGAAGAACACAAATAATATTCTGCACATATAAAAAGAATGGAGATAAAAAATTAGGTCTATGTTAATAACAAATTTTCCCTATTATGCACAACAAATGGAGCATGCAATATCCTTAAAACAACTGAAAGAGTTTGCTAAAAGAAAAGGCTATTGTGGATATTCTAAACTTAAAAGAAATTATTTAATTACGTTTCTTATTGATAAGAATCAAACGGACAGTTTTATAAAGCTGTGTATAGATATCATTGAAAGAGAAATATCTGCTGGAGAATATAAATTTCATAAACATTCAATTGCTAAACCTAGGAAGAAACAAAATGTAATTTATGTGATCAATATTATAAACCATACTGTAAGAAATCTTGTATCAAAAGTAAAAAGCATAAAAGAGCATCATATGAAAATGAAGTTATTCAGAAATAGAACTTCAATCTAAAATTTAAAAATGGTTGAAAGAATTTGCTAAACAAAAAAGATATATAAACTTGGAAAAAAAGCTTTAATAAAGTTTCTTATCAACAAGAATGAAAGAGAAATATATGCTAGAGAATATAGGTATGATGAAGATTTAATTGCAAACCAAAGAAATATAGGAAGAAACAAATAAAATGTTATATATGTGGAAAATATTACAAACCATCTTATAAGAAATCTCATATCGAAAGTAAAAAATGTGTGAAAATGAAGCTATTCAAGAAATAAAAACAGCAGACATAGGATGAGTGAAAATTTATTCAATAAACAATGTTGAAAAAAATATGTTGATCTCCAAGAATTTTTGTTTAATATGGAAGATATTATTCTTCCTAGAATTTTCATTCAAAAGTAAAATTTAATTCTGAAGTCGACTGATTTGGAAGATTATTTGAGATGCTGTTGACAAGCTTTTAAGAAAAATGACTCTGTTTCAAGCAAGAGATTCTGGGTAGGCCTTAAAAAAGTTTTACAGCTGAGGCCTTTTAATCTATAGATTAAATTACCTAAAAAGATGCAAGATAAAAAAAGCTGTGTTCTATATTAAAAATGAAAATCAAGAATGTTTCATGTATTGTATATCAGCATATTTGCATCCGGTAGATAGAAAAAATTATCCAGAACAACTGAAAGACATTAAAGAAGAACTCAAAGGCCCTGTTGCTATAAATGGTATTTCAAAATTTGAAAAGATGAATATATCAGTAAATGTCTACAGTTATGATAAAGAATGTAATATTTATCCATTAAGTATAACTGAAAATAAATGATGCTAACCTTTCTTCTGTAAAAAATAAAACTAACATACTTTCTTCTCTTACCAGAAATTTATCTTGATTAATTAAAAGTCAAATAACAAAGCATACAAGAAAAATATATGTGTGTGATAGATGTCTGCAGTATTTGGATTCAGAAGAAAGATTGCAAAAACATGAAGACTATAAGACAAAGAAAACTGTAAAGATTATAATGCCTTTTCAAGATTCAGTTATAAAATTTCAAAATATTAATAATTCACTTTGATTTCCTTTTATTATATATGCTGATTTTGAATGCTTAGATAGAAAGATTGGTACCTGTTTTCGAAATCCCTCTCTGAATCATACAAATGCTTATAAAAAGAATACGAACCAGCAAGTTTTTATTATATCAAGTATGTTAATGGACATTATAAAGATCCCATAGTTCCAATATGATATCTCACTTTCCCTCACAAAAAGCTTTTATCGACTTACACAGGCCCGGCATGGCCAGATGGTTAAAGCACTCGACTCGCAGTCTGCAGGTCGTGGGTTCGATTTCCCGTTCCACCAAACATGCTCGCCCTTTCAGCCATTGGGGCATTATAACGTGATGGTCAATTCCACTATTTGTTGGTAAAAGAGTAGCCCAAGAGTTGGCAGTGGGTGGTGATGATTAGCTGCATTCCCTCTAGTCTTACATTGCTAAATTAAGGATGGCTAGTGCAGATAGCCCTCGTGTAGCTTTGAACGAAAT